TATAAGTATATGACAGAAGCTGTAATCTGCATGTAAGATGGAGCACACAGTGTTTTTGTCTCTAAACCTGGGTTAGCTCACTCAATGAGTTCCATCTGTGTCCCTCAGAATTTCATCACCTCACTTTTTTTTAGGGCTCAATAATCTTCTGTTGCTTTCAAGTACACATTTCCATGGTGAGTTTATTTGTTGATGGACATCTAGTTTGATCCTCTCTCTTTGCTATTATAAATACAGCAACAATGAACATTGATGTACACTCTATCTCTGCGATGGACAGTGCCTCTCAAATGTGAGCTCAGCTACAGTTGGTTCATATGGTAGTTCTAATATTAGTTTCTTTTAAAAAAGGAAAATTCCACACTTATTTTCCACAATGGCTTGACTAATTTGTGTTCTCACAAGCAGTGGATATGTGTCCCCTTTCCCCAAATTCTCACCACCATTTAGTCATTTTTTTCCTTTCTTGCTTTTTTCCTTTATTTTCTTTTTCTTGGGGGGGGATAAGAACACCTTTTTGATCATGGTATCTCACCTGCCAGGTAAAGCATCCTTTGTTTTCTTGACATTTATCATTCTGCCTGGGTTTACATGAATTTACACAAGAGTTTTCGTATCTACTTCCTAATGGTTAAGGAAATTAAATACTTTTTAAGGTGTTTATTGGCCTTTTATACTTACTTACTACTTTATATTTAGAATCTTTCTAACTGGACTTTCCTTTTGTGAGTTAATTTTTAATTTATGTGTATGAGTGGTTTGCCTGCAGTCTTGTCTGTGCACCAAGACTTCAGAACTCAGAAGAGGGCATCAGAGTCTCTGGAACTTACTTACAGATTAATATGAGCTGTATTTTGGTGTTGGAAACTGAACCCTGGTCTTCTAGAAGAACAATCAGTGCTCTTAATTTTTGAGCCATTTCTCCAAATCCCTTCAACTCATTTTGGAATGCATTATTTTCTTATTTAGTTTTTCAAATGTTATTTATATATTAGAGATGTTAATTAACTCTCTATCAAATGTACATCAGGCAGAGATCTTCTCTGAGGAGCTAACATATCAGAGTAGTACTGGTGCAGATGAGATACATGAGGCTCTGCAATGATCAGGTACAGTGTAGCATAGGCCTGCTGAGTACATGTCATGCCATGATTTTGACCTCTCAATACAAAAACAACACTGTTTAGAGGGTTATGCTATGTTCATTTTATAGGGAAGCAGCACATGGCCACTGCATGACTCCCACTGTGTAGAGATTAGAAGACAAATTATAAAAATTGTTTACTTCATTCTACCATATACTCAGGAATTGAACTCATATCCTCAGGCTTGACAGCAAGTGTTCTTAACTGGTAAGCCGTCTAACTGACCCTGGTTTATTTTAAAACAGAAACATTAAGACTGGGTATGGTAGTGCACATATTTAATCCCAGCACTTCGAGGCAGGCCTGTTGGACATAGTTTATTTCAGGACCATCAGGGATATGTAGAAAGACTGTGTCTCAAGAAAAAAAAAAGAGGGAAAAAAGGGAAGGGTGGAGGGAGGAAGGAAGGAAAAAGGAAAAAAAGAAAGGAAGGAAAGAAAGAAGGGAGAAAGAAAGACAAGAACATTTAATAGTAAATGTCATAAAATTTTGGACTTAGGGATTTTGAAGTAAGAGGTGTCTTTTTTATCTATTAATGTTATATGTTTAAGAAACATTATCATTCTTGGTTTTGTTTCTTCATGTATAGAAAGGATAAAATGACTTGAAAATTATAATGAAGATTAAATAAGGCTCAAAAATTGTATGTCTCTTATAATCTCGTATGCACAATTGCTCATGTAGGTGGATACTTATTTGCATGCAGTATGTAATCTGGTGTCAGGGAAATGCTGGACCCTCCTGATTATTAGCTTGGGTGCTCACTTGTGTTCCTCCAGAAAACAGGACTAACTGATGCAATAAGTGTTCAGTTAAAGATCCCTGCGCAGCAGGGGCGGGAGAAATACTCTTGGGTGCATGACGACAGGTATGGTTCCCAGACTCATGCACATGTGGGAAGCACTGAATGGAAGTAGTGGGTTAACTATAAACAGGAGAAAACATGAAGATGAGAAGTAGACATGATGAGGGGATGCCAGGGCAGTTCAGGGGTGCAGGAAGGAAAAGCATCCTGTCTCACTGTAATGTGTATAAAATCCTAACAAAGGTTTTAAGGACTCAAATACATAAAAAAAATTCCCTAGTTTTCATTTAAGCTGAATATTATATAACATAACCACTTACTTTCAGAGCAGATTTTAATGCCTTTACTTCTATCACTTGGAAGGCAGGGGCAGAGAGATTTCTGTGAGTCTGACAGCAGCCTGTTCTACAAAGCAAATTCCAGAACAGCCAGGTCTGTTCCATAGAGAAACACTGTCTCAAGAAAAAATAAGTAAATAAAATAAATAAGTAAAAAGAAAGAAAAGGAAAAGAAAGGAAAACCCCAAAACAACAAAAAATAGGGGGCCTGGAGCATTAATCTCAGATGTTAAGAGTAGTGATTGTTCTCCCAGAAGTCCTGAGATCAAATATCAGCAACCATGGTGGCTCCAGAGCTAATGGGAGCTTGCTGACTCTGGACTGATAGCTGGGAACCTGCATAGGACTGAACTAGGGCCTTTGAACGTCGGTAACAATTCTGTGGCTTGGGCAGTCTGTGGGACCACTGGCAGTGGGACCAGGATTTATCCCTCGTGCACTAACTGGCTTTTTGTAGTCCATTTCCTATGGAGGGATACCTTGCTGAGCTTCAGGTGGGAGTATCCTGGTTCTGTCTCAACTTGACAATCCAGATTTTGTGGACTCCTCATGGGAGATTTTATCCTTTTTGAGAAGTGAATGGGGAACTGGGTGTAGAGAATGTGGGGGAGGAGGAGAGAGAGGTTAGTATGTAAAATGAAAAGCAAAAACTTCTAAATAAAAAAAATAGAAAAAAAATCACAGAGATTTTAGACCTTTGTATTTAAAACAAGAGCAAAATAATTTGACAGATGGCAGATTACTTTCACATGATAGTGTTTATTTTCCTCTTATTTATACACATTAGAAATGACAGTAAGCCAGCTGTGACCCCAAATATGAACACAGACAAGTACCAAAGATGAGGATTTTGGAGTGCCCTCAACTGTTCAGTACGATAATTAGATGAGAGCAAGATTCCGGTAGAGCATTAATGTCACTTTCAGGAGTGTGAGCTCTAACAGGGTGTGGAGAATTTCCTGAGTTTAAACATTCCACCCTGGAGGGAAGCAAAAAGACTGATTCTCAGGAAGCCCCTCAAATATCAGATTCACAAGGTCACACCTTGCCCAAGGTTACACAAACACTAAGGAAGACTAAGAAGTCAGAGTCTGATGCCTGAAGCTGCCTAGCTGTTCTCCAGAGAGCTCCAGAGCTCCAGCTTACATGAGGACCACTCACGCTTGGGTGAGATTTCAGGGACGCAGTTGCCTTTGAGTCAGTGATGCTGATTAGTCTTCACCCATACGCAGGCAAGCAACCCCACAAACTCATTGGCTCACTGCGGTGGTTACTTTCGTCAACTCAACTAAAGAGTGTCTGGGAAAAAAGAACCCCAATCAAGAACATGCCTCCATTGACTTGCTTTGGACAAGCCTGTGGGAGAATCATCTTTATTCATTATTGACATGAGGAGGTCCACATCACTGGACTGGTGCCATCCTGGACAGGTAATCCTGGCTATATACAAACACTGGCTGCTCAAACCATAAAAAGCAAGCCAATAAGCAGCATTCCTTCCCCCATCTCTGCTTTAGCCCTGCCCCCAGGTTCCTGCCTGCCTTTCCTGGGTGACATAGTGTGACCTGAAGGTCATAGCTGGAATAACCCTTTTCTTTCTCAAATAGCTGTCAGTGGTGGGCTTTATTATAGGGACAGGAAGCCCACAAAGATACTCACCTTTTGGATTTGATGGCGTTCTTTCCTTTGTCCATTGTTCATGTCTCCTCCAGAATAACATTACACAGCACAAGAATAAAAAACCTCCATGGTTATATAGAATGTGTACACAAAGAGAGGTGCATCACCCTTGTTCAGAACTTGAATCTCAGGTTGGCTTTCCTGAGAGGAGACATTTCAACGTAATCACTTTGCAGGGTGGTAGCAAGAAGGCAAGATGAGCCTCAAGGAAGTGAAAGTAAACAGTGTAATTTCTGAATTATTTATCCACTGGGCTTTTCATTCCCCTTAGTGCTCTTTGTACTAATTTTTAAGAGAGTCCATTTTAATTCATCTTTCATCTTATTTATGACCTATTCTGGAATACTTTAAACATGCCCATATTAAACCATTGCTTTCCTCACATTTTAACAGTGTTCAGACCACCACTCCCCTTTCTCGTTTCTCACCATGACACTATGACTCATGAATACTAATCTATAAACAAAAGCACATTTACCTAGTACAGTAGCTCAGCAATACTGTTCTTGAAGGTGTGAATTCATTCTAGGCAAAGCAGCTACGGGCTGACAAACTAGTTCCTTGAATACAGTGATTGCTGCCAAGCCTGGTGACCCCACATTGTGGAAGGAAATAACAGACCCTGACACGTTGTCCTCTGACTGCCACATGCACTGCTGGCATGAGTGCATGCATGCACACACTTATTAAAGATAAAAGAAGGAATTTTAGCAGAAAGAAACGTAGCTGTGTTGTAGAGAACTTTTCCTCTTTGTTCTTCGATAACTCTCTCTTTGTCTCTCTTTCTCTCTCTCACAAACACACACACAGAAACACGCAAATGAATTTTATCATTTTTCATTCCCCCTTTGCCCTTTCTCAGCATGCTCTCTTCTGTTAGCTTGTCTTCTGCCCAAGGATCCCCGTTCTTACTTTCATCTTTGCCTCGAGCGACCCTCTGAGTTTAATTAGCATTTCATGCTTGAGCACAGGAGTCATGTTATTTACAAGAGCAAGAACAACTTATTTTTTTTTTCAGACTGGATGTGAGATTTATTGCTGAACATGATTTGGTAGGGTACAGGAGAGCACCGTGAAAGCCCTCAGGAGAGTATGCTTGCCGCTTATCCAGGGACCATAATTAGGAATATATTTGACCCCACAGCCATCAGGAATCAGTCTCTTCTCAGCAACCACGTCTTCAAATTCATCTGCATTAAACTTAGTAAAGCCCCATTTCTTTGAGATGTGGATCTTCTGGCGGCCAGGGAACTTAAACTTGGCTCTACAAAGAACCTCAATCACATGCTCCTTATTCTGCAGCTTAGTGCGGATGGACATGATGACCTGGCCAATGTGAACCCTGGCCACTGTGCTCTGGGGCTTCCCAAAGGCACCACGCATACCTTCTGGAGCCTGTCAGCCCCAGCACAGGACTACATCTTGTTGATTCGGATGACATGAAAGGGGTGAAGCCTCACTCGAATATGAAAGCCATCCTTGCCGCAACTCTTTTCCGTGTATTTGTTGGTACAAATACGGGCAGCCTCCAGAGCTTCGGAAGAGAGTTGTTCGTATTCATCTGACACCATGTGGTCACAAAGCGGGAATTCATCAACTTTTGCCTTCTTCCGTCCCAAGTCAAAGATTCGGATTTTAGCATCAGGGACACCTCTGCAGAAGCGAGACTTTGGGTACGGCTTGTTCTTACAATACCAGTAACACCGGACAACTTATTAGGCCGACAGCAGAGGGAAAACTCCATCTCTTCCAGCAACCACCAACTACTTCTCAAGCCCAGGAAGCATGTCGAGCCTCTCTCTTTCGTGAAGGAGTGGTGAAGGAACTGCCTTCGTGCGCATCTTGAGCAGTTAACTCCCAGTGGTGGGAGCTGTGGAGTGCAATAAGCAGGGCATGTGTGAATATCCTCTCATGTCTCAGGGACTTTCTAAGACTCGGAACTTTCTCTTCATCAGCCTTATGAAGCCTCCCTTTACAGCCTTATCAATCTTAATGAACTTCCTTCTGTGATGCAGAGTCAGAGGCAATACTTCATAAACTATAAGATCACACATTCTCCTCGTGTCTACATTTAGAAATTTTTTGCCCCCTCTTCCAAAATGTCTCCTGAGCCTTGGAGGAGACAGTGCAGATGTTGTCCCGTGAAGGGTTGAGAAGAGAATTTTGTCATACAATTTAAAATATGCTCATAAACTTTAATTATTGTTGACACAGGAAAACAAGCCTTGCCTCAAAGAGTATAAAAGATTGTTTATCTGAAGCAAAATATGATTGAATATTCCTAAGAACAAGGCCCATGTTCCGACACTGTAACCATTTAATGGCTTTTATAGTAATGGAACAAAGAAAGCTATAAGGCATTGTTCTTAATTCACTGGTAAAAACATCAAGTTAGTGTTTACTGCAAAGAGGGGACCCCTTTGCTATAGGCCTCAGATGCTGAGTGACTCGTAGCTTTTGTTTGTTGGGTTTTGGTAAATTAATCCATTTCAGAAGTTTTGTTAGTCACGGTATGTCAGCTCATGGCGGAAAAGATTGTTCAAAGTAAATTACAGTTTGGCTCTGAGCCTGCAACACTCCAATCTCTTCACATCATTGAAGTTTTACTCAGTTAATCAGTCTTGCAGTCAGTTCAGGGGAAAGTGCAGCTGCTTTTCTTCACAGTACGTGTATGTGTGTGTGTGTCTCCACCCCCACCTGTGTTGTGTGTGTGTCTGTGTGTGTCTGTGCACAGACCATGGCTATGAGTGGAAAGGTCAGGAGAGCTTATAATAGCGTGCTCTCTCCTATCTCCATGTGGATGGTCAAACTGGAACTGCTCTGTCCCCCTGAATGATGAATTCTCCCAGATACTTTTCAGGGGGAATTTTAGAGACATCAGACACTAATGAGAGGAAGTCAGAGATTCCACAAAACTGGAAAGATCAGTTTGTTTCTCACAGGAAATCTTTGGGGGAAAAGTTGGTCCGCCCTTCAGAACTATTTGACATGAATGCACAAGCTCCTGACTATGTATGAAAGCCCAATTGCACAGACTGAGGTGGACGGCAAGAACTGTGTGGTGCTGCTTTCTCTGAACTAACTAGAGAGTTTTTACTACTGTCTAATATGCTGTCTGAAGTAGACATGGGTTGTTGCCATGGACTCACACAACTGTATTTATTTGGAGTTTGGCAGAACAACAAAGCTGGCCAAGTTTCATTCATGCTGTTCTCTAGTAGGTTTTACAAAAAAAATGTAATCCAGGCATCCTTAAAATGAAAATACAAGTTTTGGGTGGATGGGGTGATGTTACAGGTTTAGGGAAAGAGCCTGGGCCCAGAGAACCAGGATCACACAACCAGGATTTTTACACTCACACACACACACACACACACACACACACACACACACACACACACACAGAGCTTCAAACTTCTCAAGTTTTTGTAACTATACAGTCCTGTTCAAGGTGTGATCCTGTCGGCCAATGACCTATCTTCTCCACTGATCCTCTTTTGTGAGGTCCTCTGAAAAGTTGTCAGCTTTAAATGAATTCTTTCTGGAACATAAGCCCCTCTTCTGGATGGTACCAGGTTTCAGTCTCTCCCTCTCCTCAGCTTGAAATTCATAACAGAATTCCAGTTTCTTGTGATTCATTATGCCAATAGTTCACTACCCTAAAGAAAATACATGGTATTGCTTAGAATATCTTCATTCCAGCCAGGATGGTTCTTGTGACTTGCTTTTATTTACAGAGTTTACCTTGAGGACTGAGAAACCAAGTGGGGTAATGAAGGAGAGTTATGTCATGCACATTCTTAGTGTGCTCCTGTGCTAGGTGTCTGATGTCACTGATTACAGCACCTTATTACTCTGAGGGAAGTCCTTGGTCTTATTCCTTGGAAGCATAGCTGCACCCTTCTCTTCTGCCCTCTTTTAAAAGGCACAGCTTAACTCACGGTTCCTTCTGGGTGGACCAGACAAGTTTAAATTCCTTCTCAGCAGAAACAAAGGCAAGGCAAACTTAGTTTCAAGTGGGTTATATATCTCCTTTATATCCCCATAAAATGCAGGTGCTGAGATGCTCTTTCAGTACAACACCTGCATTTTATGGTGCTTATGATATAATATATTTTATTTGTGACTCCTTAAAGTGGATTGAAATGCAAACAGAGGAAATGGGATTCATTTAAAATGAAGGGCAGAATTGGTGATATGTTTATCTGGACTAATATTTTTAAACACCTATCAATCTAAAAATGATTAATATAAGCTTTAAAAGACAAACACAGATAATCTTATGTGCCCTTCATTTCTGCTTACTTTTTTTTATTATATCTTTGAAATGGCAGGTATTCAGAGAACCCTCAAATCTGAAAATCATCTGCTGAACAAAAATACAATAAAAACTATAGGGATCTCTCTTTCTATGACTCAGGTCTGCTGCAATTAATTACTCAACTGAGGTGATAAAGAGAAAATACCCAGGTGAAGCTGTTTGTCCACCCTCATTTGTGAGTTTCTTATAATGTCAAAATCACGTGAAGCCTAGGAATTCATTTTCTTTCCCTTTTTCCCATTTGAAGATATAATCAGGAATCAAAAGAGTTAGAGAGTGTATACTCTAGCCTCAGGGCTGGAAAACTGACAAGAGGAAGGAGATAAGAAAAGAGGAGCATGTTCTGTTCCAGCACAGCGTAGATATGCTGAAAAAACACCCGTCAGAATCAATTGCATATCTCTGGAGAAAGTGTACCTGTAACTCACTCTGCTTTCAGGGTGATTCATAAGAATGGGAACCATGGCCAACATTCAACTTCATACTTCAGGTTCTTATCATTGCCAGTATGTGTGCATACTTGTGTGTGTGCAGGCACATGTGGATGTGCAGTCACATATGTGCAAGTGTGTCTGGAAGTCACAGATGGATGCTGGGGATCTTCTCCAATCACCATCATCTCATTGTTAAAGACAGCTCTCTTCCTGAAACTACAGCTCACTGATATGGTTAGATCAGCTCACCAACAAGCTCCCAAAATCCTCCGTCTACACTTTTCAAATGCTGACTTTATAGACACATAACACAGTGCCTGGATTTTCAGGTGGTTGCTCTGTGTCTGAGCTCAGATCCTCATGTTTGCCCAAAAACACCTTACCACGATAGCCCTCTTTCCCTAATGCTGTTATCTTAATGCTTACAGACACACAAGAGACTGTAGCGTCAACAAAGGTAATCTGTCACTAGACATTATGTGATGATCCATTCTGGCCTTACATGGCTGTGGTTTCAATTTCAAGGTCCTTTATTTTAGAAGGTCCTATAAGGTAATGTTTGTTAAAAAAAATAATACCCATACATTAAAATGGGCCTTGAGTCATATATTAGAGGCAAGTTTTTTTGAAGTTACACTACCTGTCTCAACAAAATGAACTTACATTGAAGATAAGTAAAAGTAGTAAACTCCACTCTGAGATCATTTGGAAAGCAATGTATGAAAATCTTCCTTGCTCTCTTTTTCTTTTTTTTTTCTTTTTCTTTTTCTCTTTTTTTTAAACAAGACTCTGTGTAACAGTCTTAGTTGTCTTGGGACAAGAACAGCCTAGCTCTTCTTGGTCAGGCTGGCCTTGAACTCACAGAGCTCTGCCTGCCCCTGCCTCCTGAGTGCTAGGATTAAAGGTATGTACCACCAGAGGGTAGAAAGGGAGAAACGAGTAAGGAAGGGGGTGGGAAAAATATATAGCTCAATAAAAACAATAAAAAGATCCATTCTTAGTACATCCATTTGGAGAGTACTAGAACACCAAGGCCCACCCTGATGTTTTTAACTGACTTTCTAAGATATAGTTACAACAGTATCCATAAGACTTTTAACAACACTGGGAAAAAAAGTGAAAAGTAGCTGATAAGATTTGTTTCTTTAATAACGTATTAAAAGGAGAACTTGGAGAAAATGAATAGTATAGTTCATCAATAGAAACAAAGGGAGCCAGTGACATAGGTCAGGAGATCTCAAGAAAATATGAGAGCTGTTACCAAATTAATAACATTTTACTGAAATCTAGTCTAAGCAAAACCAAACTTGGGATTTCAGTCTTCATATTCTTTGTTCCTTCAAACCAGTGCCTCTCAGCCTATATGTTGTAACCACTTTGATAAACCTCTATCTCCAAAGATACTTACCTTGTAATTCAGAGCAGTAGCAAAATCTCAGGTATGAAGCAACACGGAAAACAGCTGTATGGCTGGGAGTCATCACAACAGGAGAAGCTGTATTAAAGGGTCATAGCTCTAAGAAGATTGAGAACCACCGCAAACAAAGCACAACTTTCTGCTCATTCTTTACATTTGCTTTCAAACTAACAGATTTCAGAGAAGTGTGGTGCAGCTGGCTTGCAAAGCCAAAGCTCTGCTGGTGGCAACAAAGGATCAGGAGTTCACACTTATTCTCCACTAAACAGTTCAAGGAAAAGCTAGATGAGCAATTCACGATGATTCCCCACTATCCAGGTAGTTTAAGGCCAGGCTGGACCAGGAGTTCACACTTATTCTCTACTAAACAGTTAGTTCAAGGCCAGGCTGGACCAGAAGTTCAAAATGATTTCCCATTGTTCATGGCCAATCTAATTAATTGCATGAGACCCTGTAAAAAAATAAACAAGTATATAAATAAAGAAGTGAAATTAAATAAACAACAAGACTTAAACAGCTCTTTCAGTATTATTATTTTA